CGGCCCACTTGCCGGTCTCACAGCAAACTTCGTGCAGCATAACGCCTACTTTGTTTATGCGTTTCCTAGAAACAGACCAAAAATCGATAGCAGAGTAATGTCATTCTTATTTTGATTGTCCGTATAGGTAATACCTTTTTATGTCATGGTATGGTCGCCGGGAAATCCCGAACTTCCCTTGTTTTTTTTTTAAATAAGTATTTAATGGAAAAAGTAAAGACAGATCCGATATCTTCCAAGTCAAAGTCACCCCATGTAAACATCACCTAGAAATGCAGGTATTCTATGACAAAACTGAAGGCATAATTAGAGGAAGGCTTGAGAAGCTTGAAATAAATAAGGGAACGCAAAATATGGCACCACATGAAAAAAGCAAGCCAGCCTGGGTCATTAAGCGGCTGAGGCTGCAAGCCTGACCAGGAAAAACCATCGGAAAATGCTTCTGCTGTCAGGCGCTACGGTTGTAGGTTTAATCATTTAGGCTGTACTTATTGACTCAGAAACAATCCCTGTCTTATATCTGTCAGTCTACGCAATTGGTATTGAGCGATTTGTTCGACCAGCCTCAAGACGGAATTGCTTGGTAGACTAAGAAATACGTATGTAGGAAACACCGAGAACGAGAACCCACAATGGAATTGACCCGGACCCCCAATGAAGAAAATATTCCCTTCGTTTCAGCTCTTTCTTTTCCACCGTCAGTTTGTGAGGGCATGACGACTTCCAGGGAGTGGGCGAGAAAGTAGGAAGGGTATGCTCCATCTCGAATGGGGCTCATGGTTCACCGCGATTCTCTCTCTTCCAATTAGAGGATATCCCACAGTTCAGTCTCTTTTTTGTGAAAATGGATATTAGAAATGGATGAGAATTCTGTCAATAGAAAACATACATTATAAGTTCACACATTTCCCCAAAAATTATTTGAGGAGGAACTTAGATGCAAATTTGATTGTAGATTTCTATCCAGTAATCCAAAGAATGGTTTCTCAGCTCGGCGAAACTTATATTGTATTTGGCAATCACTTCTTTCAGGAAAGACAAATCTAATCCTGGTAACTACAGCCCTTACCATGATTGAGGGATTAAAGTCCCTTTTCAGCGATAGAATTGCACCGAAAAGTCCCTTCGCTATGCAAGCAATGCATATTGGGACAATAACAATTTTGCCATGGTTGCTTGGACACGCACACACAAAGTAGTTCCATTTGGTACTATAAAATGTTCGAATGAAAAGACTAGGGTATAGAGATGAACAATTGTGTGACTCTGCATTGCTCATTCTTTAGAGCCAGTGAAAAAGACTTCCTTCAAATGAGAAACAAGAAGGAAACAATTTAGGCTAGGGGCTCCAAAATCATTATATGGAGCACAGTGTAGAGCTAAGGTTCCTCACTTCCCCCCCTGGGTAGCCGCTACTGGGAAGTTTTTGGAGGAAAGAGACCAACCAAACGAAAGATATTGACCTGAAAGTGACAAAAAGTCTTTTTATTTGGTTTCAGTACACCATTTCGCCATGAAAAATGAAATTAGATGCCGTTAATTTCGGCTTAGCAGAATGGGTCCAATCCCGTCCTCGAGTGTTGCCGGATATCGTGCTTTAGTTATCCCACATTCATGACTTCATAGCCTTAGTATCTTTGATGGGTCTTCTCTTTTCATTGTAGGAGACATTAATGTGCTGAATTCATGGGATGAGCTGAGATTGAGGCGGTGTTTTGCAGTGGCCGATCGATTTGGTGGAATACGGAGATATCTCATTCAAACATCCCTAAATTAACATGACGGAGGCTAGCGTCCATGTCATGCTTTCTAAAGGCATCTTCTTCTTAGAACGAGTCGAGAGGATTCGAAGATCTCTGGATTGGCCTGATATTCCCCGACCGCACCGAAATGGCTCATGAAACTCGTGAAAGACGTAAATTTGGTCTAACATTACACGTTCTCTGTTAAATGTGCTATGAGACACTGAGTAGGCCTACGATTAGTCTAACGTTACACGTCCTCAACGAGGTGAGCATAAAAGGCGTGGCTGACTAGTCCTTTGGTCGATTTCGAACGAAGCTACGAGATGGAGTTTCAGGACGATGCCTTCAGTTCTGCATTGCACTGTTGTGTCCAAGTGAGGCGCTCCTAGAGTCACATCAGGAGGCATGCGCTAGGCGTCTCAGTTCATGGATGAACCTCTTGAAAAAAGGAGAAAATTCATTCAAGGAGCTTATTTTTTTTTTCTTCGATAAAGTTTGTATTATAGGCAAAATACATTAATGGATAATTTAATGTTTTTCAACAGCTTATGGCTTAGGATGTGATTAAGTGTTACTTCTTCCCTTTTACTTTTACTTTTAATTTACTTTTTCTCATGCTTGGAAAAGGCTGATATAGCCTAACGTACCACATAGTGAGAATGTTACTAGTAATGTTGCTGGAGAACAGATTGCTGTTGTTAGTGATCAATCCTCCAACAGTGGCAGTGATGAATCATGTTGATGATCAGAACCCCTCAAGACGTGCTCAAAACAATTGAAATCCTAGAGCAACGGTTCCAGAATTTGGTAAGCATACAAATATGAATATGTAATGTAAAAGGTTTCAAATGACCTATTTTTTTAAATCGCGCAATATGGTGTTAGTTTCATTTACTCCGTGGTGTTAGTATGTGTGAGGCATTTGGTGGTACGCTATATATGCCCCCCGGAGGAAAAAGGTACGCCGAGGTCAAAAGTTTGGGAGTCGACGTAGTGGTGGAAGCATCCAGAATTCTGATTTTATACTTGATAGCAGCGCCTCAAAACAGCAAATACACAAAAATGGCATTCTTTACCATTTAAACATATCATTTAGTTAAAAATGCGATCTTGAGAGAGACTTTTGTCTGTTCTAAGGTTCGAAAGTCGTTTTAATGCTGTGAGAACTCGCGGAAAATTTTCTCAATGCATTGAGACACCGTGAGGAAGTCTAATACATCCCGGATGGACGTTGAAAGAGTGAAAATTCAAAACCATCTCCTGTCGTGCATTATTATTAAGCACGGGATCGATTTCTTTCCTAGAAATCCTGACCGGTTGTTTTCTTGGAGTCCATGAAAATGAAAAACTGCTTTTACTACAGTTCCCCCGGGTAGGAAATCGGCATCGATGATATAATTAAACAAGGGAGATGGAGATTTAATCTCAACAGGTCGCCTAGGAGGTGCAGCGCTTCCTTAAAATCGATCAAAGAAGTGGCCTGCCATTTTCGAAACATGTAAACATTCGAAGCAATAACTAGGGGCCTGATGAGAGGAACAGCATCGATCAAGTTGGAGGGAGAAAGCAAGTGTATCTGATGAAGTTTACATGCATCTCGCGTCTTTAATGTATCTGACACGATACATCGATACTAGGAAGACACTTGATTTACTGGACTAATAGGATTTTTCCAAAGAATCAATGAAAGGGAATATTCCGCATTGGGTCTAAATTAGGGCTAGATTCCAGCACGACGTCTATTGCAAGAAAAATACTTGGTATTTCTCTTGAAAAATGTCCAAAGTCCTTCTTAAAATGAAATAAATAATTTAAAAGCGCAATTGCCATGTCACGAATAAGTCGGAAATACACTGAAGGCTACAACGTTGTCTAAAATAAACCCGATCCTCATAGATAATTTCCAACCGTGTGCTGCCCAAGTATCAGTTTTTAGAAATAAATGTGTCTTTGGGATGTAAGGATTTCCACGTGTGGATTAGGACGAATACACACGTGGATCGCATGCAGTTTAAGATGATTTAGATGATGAGTTCACATGGGGATATTCTTACGTCCACATTACCACCGGTGGTACTGTCCACATGGGGACTACAGTCCACGGTAAGCCCACGCTATTCCACATGGATTAGTCATTCCACATGTGGATTATCAAAGGGGTTTGTATAGTTCCCTGCTGGATGCAGAGGGATTTTTCCTGAGGGAAGGGGTGGGGCTCTCCATGGATTTAGAGGAGTTTCTTACAAGGCCAATCCACTCAGGGGCACACGAAAGCAGAAAGTCCATTAAACTAATTAAACTTGGTCTCTGTAGATATGGTCGATACAATTCAGCTAAGTAGCATGTTGAAGTAGTCTGTGCCACGTATTCAACCTAGCTCACTCCCTGGACGATAAGCCATGACTGTGGAGCTTCTCTCTTCCCGTGCAAGCAAGCCGGTGGTCGTCAGCGCTTTTTTATACATCTTCTTACATTGTGGGACCTCAATTGATTTTGTGGCGCATTATGCTGCACATTTGGGGGAGAAATATGAGAACATCACCTTAGAAACGAAAGAAGCCAGTGTCAGAATATGCGGCATACGATGCGTTCTACCGACACCCCCCTGCTATGCCTTCAACTATCGGGAATCCGATGGTTCATGCCAGCTGGTTTTCAATGAGAAAAGTGGCCTTGTGGACGCCAACGGATTTACTGCTTATGTTCAGAGTGAGTCATCGACTTGAAATACAGTACATTTGAAAATTGGCGAAGGGAATAAATTAATTTTCTCTAACACACAGAACTGTGCCTGACAGAGCATCCAACGATTCAGAACGCCATAGTATCATTTGAGGATTGGAGCGGGGAGTTCCCAGCTCCACCACATGGAAGGGTGATTCTAAGCTGTCCGCATCCCAATGGATTCTCCGATGGCTCTCAATTCCACACGGCTGAATGTTCTTCTGCGTCACCTGATACTTGGTGCAGTTCCTTCAAGGAAGGCACCACTACCTGTAAGAACGTTCGAATCCGAAATCCGTTATTTGAAAATGCATGCACACTCAATTGCTAGGAATCAAGTCGAAAGGTGAACATAGTTCATGAAACCTTTTTCGTCTATTGGCATATATACCGGTAGGGGTCCTTTTTTTCCCGGTGATGACTCCTAACTGCAGAATTGTGAAAGATGCGATGACGTGCTAAACCCTGAAACAGCAGATCTGGCAGCAGAAAAGCGCTGGATCGCTTACGTTCGAGATTGAGTTGGAAATAATGGGGAACGTATGGCTGATGTTGCTGGCCATCATGGGGGGGGCACAATGTCATATAAAATGGTATTTCTTGAAGGCAACTAATATGACGTTGGAATTAGGATAAGTACCAGGACTGATGACAAGAACAAGAGAAGCAGTGAAAACTAAGTGTAAAAATTTTTTGGACGATTCTGAAGTATGTGCAAATACTACTCATATTTACTTTCTTATATCCCGTGATGGCGAAGTTTAATCTTCACGAGTGTTCAGTGACTCAGTGACATGTAACTAATGTCAACAAAAAGTCCTTGAATATTTAGCAGGGGAGCTACGACATGAAAATAAACATCCTCTGTCTCATCTATGAATGAAAATATTGATGAAGCATTATGTGCATTAAGATGGTCAATACAGCTGAAACAGTCTAGTTTCTTTGGTCTTTCAACGCACTACACATAATTTCCATCGGCTGTTTTATATGAGCGCAATTCTGATACATTCCAAGAGTATTTGCCTGAGTTGCAGTAGTAAAGACATTTTCATTGGTGCGGGCTTCTGCGGAATTTTTCCAAAAAGTTTTGCTGAGTGATTTTATTGCTGTTATAAGATTCTTGAAATTTTGAAATCCAGAATCAGGAGTAATAATTCTTCATCGAATATATAAAGACGATCGTGTCTGACTGACGCTAATTCTAACCATGTTCTGGAGAAGTTAGAAATCTGAAATTTGGTACACAAGTAGGTATTGGGATGCAGCTTTCTGAAAAAATTCGACTTTTGAGGTACATGCCATGGGGCATCCATTTTGGGGAGGTGTTTCCAATTATATATATTTGCTTCAGTCAAACGGGGAGTCATGGAAACTGAAACAGGGCATGGACGTGCCTACTGAGCGACTCAGTTCAGGAAAAATTTCCAATTCTCCAATTTTTCAAATTTTCCAATTTTCAGTTGCATACCCTGGGGGCATTTATTATTTTTTTTTTTGGGGGGGGGGGGTGACGTTTTTAAATAATTTTTTTTTGTCCCAGCCAATTGGGAAGAAGTATTAGGCTGTTCCAAAATAAATGTCCGAATTCGATCGCAAACTTGAAGGGTCGTAACTCAGCTGATAATGAACATTTTAAATCGAAGTAAGCACCATCCGCTTCAACACACTTCTGTCAACGAGATACAAGCTTGTTGATCCTAGTCGAGTAGAAATCCTGAGTTCTGGAGGGGATGAAATCCTTAAAGGCATCTTCGGCAGAGGTCTGATCATGGAAGTGTTTCTCCTTGACGAAGTGATCCAGGTGTTTGAAAAAGTGGTAGTCATCTCCATCGTTCGCTTTGGCAGCTACAGGAACGTTAGGCTAAAGATAAATAAAAAGCAACTAAGTGGCTTACATAGAGAAAGGTTTGCTGAAAAAAACAGTATATAACAATAAGTGGTTATCGCAAAATTGACAGGAATAATGATAGACATAACATTACACTTAGAAAATCGGACATTTATTTCGGAACAACCTAATAGAAAGGTGAATCTTCATTCATAAGTACCTATTGCGATGCTGATTTCAGGGGCACAAATTTTTATGGGGCACAAATTCCAGGGGTAGACATTTTCAAATATTTTTTTTGCTTCATTCAAATTGAAAAACGGAAAGCTGAAACTTTCTGTGAATGTGACTACTGAGACAAGGAGATCAGGAAAAATGTCAAGTTTCGATACATTCCTGGGGGTATATTTTTCGGGGATGACGTTTTTAAATAATTTTTTTTGTCTTATCGAATTGGACAGATATAGAGCGGTGAAATTTGGCACATGCGTCATGAGGTGATGTCGAGATAGGAAGGAAACTCCGCTTTGTAATGCATCCCCTCAGGGCACAGCTTTTGGCTATGTCGGCTTTTCCAAATATATTTTTGCACCAGCATTAAGTACCAACGGATAAGACTGAAACTTAGCAGGAACGTAGTTCTTCGAGCTCTGATTTCAATAAAAATCTTATTTTTCATTTAAAACCCCTGCAGCCACATTTTTTTAATTAGCAAAACGCTCATTTTTCAATTTATTTTCATCCAATGAAACAGAGAATTGAAGAAAGTTGAAACTTGGAGCAGAAGCACCTGTTCGATTGCTGAGCTCCTACTTTCAACTTTTACACCTTAGGGCATTTCATAAAGCCATTTTAAGTTAGGTGCTTAAACAGTTATTGAAGTAATTATTTAGATTAAAATTTCGGTTCCTCCTTTCACGGCAAACGTTTAGACAGGCACATAATTTAAATACTTTTTTGCCCCTTCGAAAATAAATTAATGAATGAATGACTATCTTAGACAATGAAGCGCCGAAGGCGCAACTATAGCGAGTTTGTTTGCCTGAAGAGCAAACAAACTCGCTAGTATATTATAAGTCTTCTTCCCCATTCGCCAAAGCAACTTCGGATCAACATTGGCATGACACGATCCCCTAGAAACTATATATTCCATCATTTGTTTGTAACAAGTATACATTCGCCGCTCTTTTTACTTCACTCAGCACTCGTCTCCTCTTTCCCTCCTTCGAAAACGTACCGGATCCGCCGATGGGAGAATTCATTCTTCTGACATAATGACCACATTTCATCATAAGAACATTTACCATATTTTGTAAAATAGATCAATCCTTCTATCCTTAATTTTATTGCCATATCATGACACTTAAGTAAAATTGTTCGCTTATCAGGGATAACACTAGCTTCATTTCGATCCAAGCTGTTGCCAGACCAGAAGCGTTTTCTTTTCTTTTACTCATTGGCACTTCTTAGGTACCTTTTCACTTCTTTCATGCTAGAGAATGACCGCTTCCTTGAGACGGTTAACTCGGGCGGAGTCATATGAAATCTTAGAAGCAATTTCCTTTCCAATGGCTCTCCCAGACTTGGGTCATGAAGGAATTACTAAAGTTACCCCATATGCTTGGCAAACTTTTTAAGACTTAGAACAGCGTTTCCCTTTAAAGTCTAGCTGGTTCAAAAATGTGATAACATCTTTTTTCTTCGGCGTCTGGTAGGCATTTCTCAAGGTATTTCCCTTGCTCAATAAGAAACTGATCATTTCGTTTGCTGCAATTGCCTTCGCCCAATCAATTGCGCTTGGTCGGGATCCCTCCAGAGAGAAGTACTTCCTTGACAGAAACAGTGCAATTAATTATGCGAAAACAATAACTATGAGGCAACAGCTGGTTGAAATAATGGTGACGAATAGTGACTCCATACCCTGCAGACGCCTTATCACATCACCTCTCACATCTGTAGAACAACATCGAGCTAGAAGTACACGTCATCAAGCCAGTCACCCAGAGCAACACAGAGAAAGTAACAAAGTAAATCGTAGGCCAAAGCAAGTCCGACAGCTTGGTAAAAAGCGATGCATTGCAAAGACACCACATAATGATTTACACAAAGTCCAGGCATTAAATTCAAAATATGAGAGCCTCTATCATCCAGAAATCAAGGCATGCATAATGTGTGGTGCTAGGTTATTCCATGAAGAGGCAAATAGGAAACAATGGTGCTGTGGCAGCAGAAAGTACTTCACAGAGTACCATCAGTGCTCCTTTTTTTAAATAGCATTTCCAAATTTGTCAATAACGCAAGATGTTACAACAACCTCTTTTCCTTTACCTTTTCCTTGGTGTCATCGCAGGTTTTCAAAATACCCCCACAGGTCAAGGTCTATCATTAAGGAATATCCAGGGGAAAACCTATCGCAGATTATTCAACCTCAACTAAACTCTAGGCACAAATAGCATTTTTCTGTACATAGACGACGGTGCTGAACGACGGAAAATGGCAGCAGAACTGAAACTTGATCTGCATATTGTGCAAATCATCCAATCTTATTTGTAAGAGGTCAACGATTTGATACCGTCCTTCCGTCAATTAAGTCAATGCCCGTCAACCCACGCTCGCATAGTATTCAAGAGAAAAAGTAGAAGAACCCACAGTCATATTGAAGGTGATGATCAGCGCATTTGAAAATGGACGTCAGTTCTGACCCCCGCAAAGTGTCGGTTTGGAAGCACGGTTCCGATCGGCCCAGCTTAATCAATACTTTTGTCCTAGCATACGAATGCTTACAATACCCTTTGCTGTTCCCTCATGTTCACCTCATTTCGGTGGTTCCTTAACTGGAATGGTCCATAAAATCCCACAGACTAAATGGTATTGCTTTCTGTTTTCATCTGAGGCACGGTTTGTCCAGATCAATCGATTGGCGCAGGAGTATTTTGTGGACATGAGGTCACGCGCAGAGGAAGAAAAGCTATTATGGGTCCGTAGCGTGCAAGGGAAACTTACTGACTTACGAGAGCATCTGTATGACAAGAACTGGATGAAACTATTGAGGCGCAAAGAGGTGTTAAGGCTGGCAGAGTTTATCTCCCAAGTACATTTAATAACAGCCCAAGGTATATGCAAGTGAAGTATCAAGATGCAATGGCAATTGTTAGCAATTGCAATTGTTACCCAGCTTCTTCTTGACCGTAACGTGCAATTCTAAGTGGGAGGAAATCGTGTCAAATTCACATCCCCATCAATCAGCTGCTGACTTATACAATCGTGTCTTTCAATTGGAACTCACTGCTCTTCTCTCTCTTATAAAGAAGGGAAATCTTTTGCGGCCATTGGTGTCCACTCCGCACGTTATTGATTTTTAAAAGCATGGTCTCCCTCATGCTCATATTACAATTTGTGTTCAGGGGGTGGGCCAAATACTGCTGCAGAGATAAATGAATTTGTGAGAGCGACAATCCCTTCCACTGGCGAAAGCAATGGAAAGCTTATGGAATTAGTAATACAGCATATGGTACACGGCCCTTGTGGACCGGAACGCCTTACTGCTCCTTGCAGGAACCCTATAACAAGAACGTGCTCCAAAGGGTTCCCCAAGAAGTACTGTGACGAAACCTACGAAGATGAAAGTGGCTATGTGCATTACAAGCGTCCCTAAGAAAAGCCCTAAATATCTTGCACAGGTAGAATTATTGACAATCAGTGGATAGTGCCATTCAACCCCGCGATAATGCTATTGATGGAATGTCTTTGTAATCTAGAGATCGCATCATCAGTTAAAGTTTTAAAATACCTATTCAAGTACATGCACAAAGGACCAGACAGTGCCAAGGTAGCCGTGGTTGAGGACAACGATAACATCGATGAAGTCGATAAATACGTTTCATTAAGATACATAAGTGCGTCTGAAGCGCTATTGAGAATTATGGAGTTTGATATCACTGGGCGCCATCCAACTGTTATTGCTCTACCAGTCCACTTATCAAAGCAAGACATAGTATTTGAACAGGGAGAGGAAAAGGAAGCTATGGAAAGAAATAAGTCGAAATTGATGTAGTATTTGGAGAGACGCAAAGTATCACACTTAAGAGATTTAACTTACCTGGATATGTACGAGACTTACATGCTACACACCACAAAACCACTCAGATGTTCAATCCCACCCATAGTACATTCATCAGGTAGACATTGGTTGACGAAACGAGTTCAGGGTGAGTGTGTCGCTGGAATGCACTGGGTATCACCATCGCTAGGGGAACTTTACTACTTACGAGTACCCTTATCTAAAGTGCCAGGGAACAGTTATGAAGATCTTAAAACAATGGAAAGCAAAATATACCAAACATTCCAGGAAGCGGTCAAGGCAAGGGGGTTCTTAGATGACGATGATGAATACAGAGATGATCTGATAGAAGCTGCAGGCTTTAAGACAGGTTCTGGCTTAAGGCAATAATTTGTAAGCATGGTATTGATCGTGGCACCTTCAAGGATTGTGGGAAGAATTCAAAGAAGCACTGGCCGAAGATCACATAGACAGAATTCCTCACAATCATGACAAGGCACACAATGAAACATTACTGGATATTGATATGAAGCTACGCAACTATGGCGAGTCATGCTAGGATGTTGGCTTACCTGCACCACAAGATACATCCACTGAGACCGGAAGGGAATTATTACGGTGGTCCCAGTAGGAAATGGAACTGTGTATTAAGGAATGGCTACCGAAACTCACTGAAAATCAGAATGCCATATTCAATTACATAGTTAATAGCGTTGACGAATTGAAGGACGCCCTAATAATACAATTTATTGATGGACCAAGTGGGACTGGGAATACTTCATCGTGATTACATTTTATCTTGTAGTTAAGAATAAAATTGTACTCTGCACCGCATCAACAGGCATTGCTGCTCTCAACCGTGAGGGAGGAGTCACCGACCACTCTACCTTTTAAGTGGCCTCTTGAAACCACGGACCCAAGAGCATATTGCAACATCTCAGCCAATAATCAGAGAGCTCAACTTTTAATAGCAGCCTCGGTGATAATATGGAATAAAGCTCCAATGTCTCAAAAGCACAATTGTGAAACCCTGGACCGTATACTCCATGACTTCCTTAACAAACCAAATCTTCCCTTCGGTGGTAAAAGTTATAATTTTGGCTGGCGACTTTAGGCAAATACCACCAGTTGTTAAGTATAGGTCAAGATGCGACATAATTAATGCATCAATAAAATCATCCCAGCTCTGGACAAAGGTGCAATCGTTCCATTTAACCCTGCCCCAAAGGTCAAAGGGTGATACAATTTTTCTGACTTTGTTTTGGTTGCTGGAGAGGATCGTATTGGGAAGGTCAATATTGCTGAAGCCATCGAGGAAGTGCAGGTGATTCCATTGATTCACATAAATGGGGTCGATACATTAAACTCGCTAATTAATTTTGTATATCCAATATCTGTCCTAAACAATCCATGTGCATGCAGTACAAGAGCCATTTTGTCGGGAACCAACAATAACATAGATGAAATCAATAATTTAGTGCTCAAGAGATTGGTTGGGGAGTCAGTCAACTTGTGGAGTGCTGATACGCTGATCTGTGATGAAGGAAATCCTGATGCTAAACATTTCAATGCTGATCTATACACACTCACTGAGCCTGGTGTTCCCAACCATAGGCTGACTTTGAAAGAAGGTGCACATTGTATTCTTATAAGAAACCTCTTTTTTCAAGAGAAAATAGTAAATGGTACGGCATTCTTTGTTACCAAGATCTCATGGTTGCTAATTAAAGGACAGATTCTTGGCGAGAAGTGCGGTGATTGCAGAAGAGTGCTAATTCCAAGAATCCCATTCAAATTTAAAATTGGTCGGGCTGGTTAAGAAATAATGAGAATACAATTTTCTTTGAAGTTGGCATATGCTCTCACTATTAATAAATCACAAGGGCAAACATTGGACACCGTTGGGTTGGATTTACGCGATGATGTATTTTGTCGTGGACAACTTTATGCAGCATTAGGTAGAGTTAGAAAATAGGGATTCCATGAAAGTACTTCTGCCTAAATATAGATATGAAGATGAGGAAGGAAGTTCCCATACAGTGAACATAATCTATAAAGAATTATTCCGTTAAAACTCCGAAAACTCCGGCTTATGTGGTTTATGGCTGCTTTTACTCCTATTTTTTTAGAGATTGATATGCTATCAAGAGTGCGTCGATCATAGGTATATTCATTGGTATATTCAGAATATACCAATGGAATACTAAACGACACAATTCCAATAGTTCCTTGGTATTCCTTATGCTACGAATGACATGGCGTCACTAAGAATATGTCCTAAGACACCTTTATTTTAATGGTGCGAGAATTGAACCCATGAACAAGGAGTTTGACCGCATTAGTAGGGGTGAGCATCAAAAACAGATGCCTTAGATTGCAGAGGGCCGAAGGCGCGTCCATAGCGTTTATTATACGGATGAATGAAGAGAAACGGAGACGGAGTGAGACGGAGCTTGGAAAATCCTGAGGAAACAGGGAATTAACTCTTCACAAAAGATTAAGGGCAGCATACACAGAACTGTTACCTTCTTGTAGGCTTGTGCTGAGTGAAGATGAAGCAAAGCTTGAACATAAACTATTAACTCTTTATTGGTCACACACCACCATCGCCACCACGGACAAGAGTGGGTATCATGTTGTCGATGTGTGGGTGAAAAATCAAAGGATGCCCAGTATAATGTTATTTTAGCCTTTAAATCAAATTTGTTTAAGCATATCATTTGAAAGGGTGTTTTTTCCAGAAAAATAAAATGTCACTTGTACTCAAATTTGAAGGGTTGGAAAAAATTAGGATAGAATACTTCACGATGGAGTTTTTTTTTTACATCAAAACATACTTTCAACAGTTTTGAGGGAAGGGAAATGCAGACTTCCAAGAAAAATGAAAATGAAAATACAATTGCATTATATTTTGTAAAAGCATGCAATGTACCTACGCATCTTATACACACATGATCATGCATGCAAACTTTTTCTAGTTTTTCCAATTCCCAGCTAATGTTCTCATAATCACTTCCAAATTGATGTTCTAAGGTGCTGGCTATGCGTTAGGCCTTTATTGGAAACACCATTTGAAAACAGTAAACTAATTTTACCTAAACTAACTTAGCCTAACTTTTTGAAACCCTTCACGTTTGGATAAAAAAACTTTTTTTTAATTTTAAATTTAAAGTTTATGTTCACAAGTGAAATCGATTACATGAATATTAATTGCATAAAAATCGGTTTAAGGCCAAAAAAGGGGTTAACCTAACCTCAACCTGTACTAACATTTCTAAATTGCTCATATTGGAAAAAAATTTGCATTTTTAGGCTTGGCTAAGGACGTCCTCTCAAATATATGCATTTTTAAAATATGTTTAAGGGCCAAACTGGTCACACTCCATTGGTTCCATATGTTTGCATTGATTGTTGCTCTTCTACAGTAGATGACTATTTGCAGGTAAGAAGCAGTATAAGTATCCAGAGTGCCGTTTGACAGAGAAGGGAAGAGAATACATCGGGAAGATAAGTGAGACGGAATCAGGAAAGGAGTGCTTGAAATGGGACACTCAGGCTAACAGAACATTCGATGACTTTCTCGAAATGTTTCCGTATGATATGCACTTTTCCAACCTGGATACCTGGTCTCACCAGAACTACTGCCGCAACCCATCTGGAAGGGAGAGGCCATGGTGTTTCGTCACGGACGAAGATACTGAATGGGAATATTGTGATATCCCCATGTGCACGGATAAGGGTAATTATTCTTCCGTAGCCCTCTCGCCCTCTTTCATGTGCCCCTATCACTTGCTGATTAATGCACCTGAGGAATAGAGTATTGTTGTATATTTTGTTGAACGCCAAATATTTCTATACCTTAACTGCATTAACGTCATTAATTTTGAAATGCACAGGGTGTTCCAACGAATCGCAACCATTTGATTTTTTATATGGCTTTTTTATTTTTGCAACTATTCTGATAGCATTTTAAAGTTTTGTAAAGCGTTTTGAGAGAATTTAGCTGACACCTCCTTGAACTCAAACGGATGAATAAGAAAGGAGTCATGACGGCTTTCATGAGGTACCCTGTTTTATCTAAAAAATATGGTATGATATGCAACAAATACCATTTATTGGAATGATGAAATCATGGTATGAAAAAGAAATTCAATAGGGCACCTTTCCGCTATAGGCAAGGCATCGATTGGCCCTTAAAGGCCAATACCACATTCATCAGCGAATTCAGATAAGACCCATGAAGTGACTCGAAAAGAAGGATTTTCAGCATATCGAATCGCGTCGACTCACGCCATCATGCACGTGAAATCGTGCTTAAGAAGATCTTTGCCGATCGACTTGGGCATCTCCCATTACGGAATTCCAAAACTCACAAATTCACGAAATGTCGAACTTATCATGAGATGCTCCAAAAAAATATATAAGCATGATTAGAATCGGCACATTGTTTAAAGAAAAAGTTATTCAAAAATCAAGTTGTTACGATTCGTTGGGACAATCTGTATTATTGCTTCCGTTGTGCGATGGACAGCCGTGTATATACGATTTCGTAGATCAAGTAAAAACTAGGAATTTCATTAATCCCCAAATAAAAATGTTTAGCGTTGCAAGGTCCAGTGACCCCGCCCATATGAAAAAATCCCATGAGCCTGTCCACGCCAAGTGGTCCTAGGATTTTAACCGGAAATTTCCTAAGTATGAAAATATTATCAAATACTTTTGCTGGGGAATCGAGAGCGGTACATAGGGATTGGCAAGCAGGTGTAGTGGCTCCACATTTAAAAAAAGGGAGACTTGAGAGAGTGCACGAACTATCGTTGTATCACTCTCCTCAGAATACCTGGTAAAGTCTTTTCCATAATGCTGGGAAAAAGGAGCTCGGGCAGTCGTGGGTGAAGCCATTCAAGAGGAGCACTGCTGCTTTCATGAAGGGCGCAGCACCGCGAACTAGCTGTTCATTTAATTTCTCATATAAACCTGGTGAATCATTTCAAAGGTCCTAAAGATTAAAGTGCAAAAATGGAATTACTCTGCCAAAGGAAATTTCATTATTTAAAAAACATTTTCTTAGTAAATTGTGGGCAACCATCACTGCACACACTTGCGTAGGGCACAGCTCTATGCTTCTCCTGTCGCTGGATACTTGCTAACAAAGATCGACGGAAACCTCCTATGGAGTGGGACCACAAATTCAATCTGAAAGCAATGTAGAGTGCGTTTCGTTACTAGGGGTCCATGAAACCAGAGGGCCTCAGCTTCTTGTGCAGAGCGCAACTGCGCCATCTCTAAAGGCTTAATTCTCGCGAATGCACAGCGGAGTTCGAATGTCTAACGCAAATGACTGCAATTGTTTAACCTCATCGGGACGGAATCCGGAACGAGCAATATCAATATAGCTAAAGAGGCGCTCACAGTACTTTCTTGGGACTGTAGCACCCTTTACACAAAAATCCACTTGGACCTTTTGCATAAAACTCTGGTAGATTCGTTTCGAAAATGTTTGCCTATGGGCTGTAGTAACAGTGATTACTACATTGGTGTGGAATTCTTCTCGAATTTCCTTAAAACGTGCCTACAGAGTATCTCATTCTCATGAGTAATAATGTGTTTCGCTAGTGGGTCTGCTGGATGGCCTGCTTCCACTCTGTGGGAATAGGGCTAGCCTCTGAGTCATAGACCTGGGTTAGTCCCTGGCCTAGGACAGATTTCAGGGAATGGGCTTAGGCCGTTCCACTTTTAGAGTCAACAGTGCCTCTCCTCCTCCATTGCCTTCTCCTTTCCCTTTCCTTTTTTTTCTCTCGATCAGGGGACCGTTAAGACAGTTGGTTTTTGGCTTGCGTCCACAGGCTCGGATTAAAACACGTGATCCAATTTACCCAGTGTATTCTCCCTGTTTTTGTGGAATTTCCACTTTCTCCACTCTTTTCTTATCGAGCCATGGATTGTGAATTGATCTTTCAGGCACGGATTCCACTAGAGCTTAATTTCTTCATAGCTGTCGGTTAGACGTAGTCTGCTCTCCTGAGCATCGTCAATTCCATTTTCAGAGAATACTTCTCACTGGTGTGGTCACAGGGTGTCCACTTCCTATGGGAGTCGTGTCAGTGTGGCCAATCACTAGGGCTGAAGTGGCTAAAAATTGGGGTGTTTACCCTATTCCTCATAAGAAAATTCCACACCCGACAAAATCCACACGGGTGGAAAGGGTGTGCATTTTTTAAAAGGGAGATTCAACGTGAAAAGCACGATCAACGTCTTTTTCGATATGGATATATCGTTCATAAGGAATTCGTGCCGCAAGGCCAACCTGTGAGTCAAGTGTTCTATCAAGACATTTTAAGACTAACGAGAGGACGTGCGAAGAGAGAGACTGCAGAAATGGAGCAGCAACGAATGGTTCCTTCACCGCGACAACGCCCCCTCACACACCGCCTTGTGCACGCTTCTCGCAAGAAATCAGATGGTGACGCTCACTCATCCTTCGACTCGCCCGATTTAGCACCTTCAGACTTATTTTTGTTTCCAATAACGAAAACCAAGTTGGAAGGGGGTCGTTTGAACAGCGTATAATAAATTCAGCTAGCGGTATTTAGCAATATCCCTCAGATGGAGTTCCAGCGCTGTTTTGAAACATGGAAGGACCGGTGGACTCGCTGTATCAACCGGGGAGGGGACTATTTTGAAGGAGATCATGCATAATATTTTGTATTTTATCTTTTGTATTGTTTATCAATAAACTCCCGAAAATTTTTGATAGCATCTCGTATTAATCGCCTAAATATGACTTTATGTTTGACAAGTTATGTAAAACAGGTTTCCAATGACTTTGTGCGGCTATCACGAATATGCATTTAGTCTTTCGTTTCCCAAAGATCCTCCAGAGTGCAAGATAACTCAACAGGGCGGTGAATACATTGGAAGAACGAACGTGAGCCATTCAGGTTTTGCGTGCCAAGTATGGATGGAACCTGGGAGAAGCACAATCCCTGGAAAGGAGGAATTATTCCTACCAGCATTTCCAGATTACAAAGGAACTGGGGAGCCGCACAACTTCTGTCGCAACCCTGATGGAGATGCTGCTCCTTGGTGCTTCATTGAAGGTGGAAGTAATGACGAATTCTGTGACATCCCCTTCTGCAAGGTCCGAGAAGTTCAAGGTGGGCCCCAGGGGAATGTGTATCCCGAATGCAGACTGACAGAGAAAGGAAAGGAATATGTGGGGACCAAAAGTGTGACCGAGACGGGAAAGCCTTGTGTGGATTGGGAAAAAAATCCATATGGTATGCCGTGGGATTTCTTCAACCAGGAAATGGGATATTCGGATCACTTCATCCATGCAGACCCAACAATCCACAAGAATTACTGCCGGAACCCTGCTCTGTACAGGGAAAAGCCTTGGTGCTTCGTCTCTGAACCAGATATCGAGTGGGAATACTGCGACATTCCCTTATGTCATAACCTCGGTGTGTTCCTCAATACAATTATGGTGACATTGCCTGCTTCACAACTTGAGGGCTTTTTTATTCTCTGTTTTAGAACCGCCCGAATGCAAATTGACAAGAAGTGGCGGTGAGTACGTCGGAAGGCGGAATACCACCATATCGGGATTTCGATGCCAACATTGGCTGGCTCAAAATCCTGTGGCTCATTCGGAGATTCACCAATCACTATCGGCATTTCCTGACGAAGTTGACGGGACAAACAACTTTTGCCGCAACCCTGTTAACTTTGGCCATGGCCCATGGTGTTATTTGAAGGAATCTGGGAATAGCTGGGAGTATTGTGATGTTCCCTTTTGTCCTAAGACAGAAGGAGAACGATGCGATATCCGTATCTCAGGAAATTGCATGAGTGGGTTTTCATTCGTTTTATTTTATTTAATTTGGATCCCTCTACTTCATTTTTCTTGCTTTTGTGGAATATCGTACCATAAATGTTCTTACCTTCTTTTGCATTACATTCCGCCTTTTCCATCCTAAACTAGGTCCATTGGAGTGCAAAGAAAATGAAAAAGGAGAGACGTACATTGGAACGAAGAATATCACGAAATCTGGTAAACCTTGCCAGCTGTGGATGAGCATTTCACCTAATGCCAGAACGACTGCCATTTCGTACCGGAGCCCTGAATCGTTTCCGGACGACATACATCCTTCTCACAACTTTTGTCGGAATCCTGATTCCATACCGGGGGGGCCGTGGTGTTATAATGGAGCTGGAACTAGTCCAAGTTGGGAATATTGTGACATCCAATTTTGCTGAATACTTCGAGGATATCAGAGAGAAGAAAATATTTCATCCGCACGAGGTAGCTGTTTTATAACCTTTGATGCCAGTGTGAATGAAAATAATGATGTGGTGTCTTTCTCTGCCCCTAGAACACATAATATCATGTTCATCTGCGCCTCCCCTCTAAAACATGCACATTTTGACAGATACATTTAGCAATGGGAATGACTGTTTTCATCATATCCTTTTCCCACGTGTTTATTGGACGATCCGATTGAGACCCTGATGTTCCGGTTCTACACTTTGCTTTTCATTGGTTTGTCGTTTTCCTTAAAGAGGGAGGGGAATTTGATCTTCACCAGCACATCGACTCAATGTTGATATCAGCGGAATGGCTGTGGTTGATGGAGCAAACAAGATGGTGAGATGGTCCTATGGGACATGTGTGACGTGGTTTTCTCCTGCTTTGGACCTCGTGCAATTGGGTGATGCATCTTTTCCCTGTATAATTGGTCTTTTTCCTTTCGAGGTGATAATTTTTAAACATAATTGCTGGTGCTTCGCATAGGCAATTTGTAGAGCTGTCAATC